ATATTTTTCCAAGTCCGGTACGACGGTTTCGTCTCGAAATTGGGGAATATTAGCGTATACGGTCCAGTCGTTTCGCCCCTCCGTGCCGGGTTTGTCGGTGGTGTTACTGTACGTTCCCTGGAACGCGTCGCAGACCGCGTACTGTCGACACGCGGTGGTTTTATATTCCGACGGTTTGTAGCCGCGAAAAACCGGTTTTGACTCTTGTTGTTTCGACAACACATCGTGCGCCACGCTCGTGCGGCTCGAAAACAAACCAAACAATTGGAAGTTTTGCGTACGGTTGCCGATGTCTCGTATGTAATTCTGACAATTAAGTCGCTCTGTGTTATTAACACTCGAGTCCGCGTGGCCGTAGATCAGAAACAGAACTATAGAGTGATAAGACTTGGTCTTGGAGGAATTCGAGGAAACAAATACGACGAAACGCGTCGTCTGCGGAGATATCGAATCCACGCGTTCGCGGACATCGATTGCCCGTATATCGGTTCGTCCGCTACTCCTAATGTAGTTATCAAGCGCGGTTCGCGCGTCCTCCTCTAACACGAATCGACTGTCGTGCGTAGCCCCTAGCCATTCTCGGAGATGTTGCGAATCGTTGTACGGTATWGTTTTCACGTGAAACAATTTCAACCTCTCCGCCAGTTGTAGCAAAATTTCCGGATTGGTGTTTTTCTGCTGATTCGTAGCCATCGCCGCGGACCTCGAACATTCACGCCGACGACGCGCGTTCAATCGACATGATCGACGTGCGACGAGAAATCCGTTTCGTGGAAACGGCGTCGATACAGCTATTTGAGGTTCTAATCGTCGCGGGCGCACCCGCCATAGGCTTCTTTAATACTCTCAAGGATACAGCGATAAGACAGGAAACGTTAACGCGTCTTCGGCAAATGTGGCAAGGGGCCGACGCGTTATTTATACCATGCGCRGACCTTAACTCGTTACATTCGATGCAATGCAAGTCGCAAGGTATCGGCTGCGCCACTATACCGTCGCAYATAGCTTCAAATCATAATAAACTCGCCAGGTATTATATATTCTTGTTATTCCGATATTGTATGTCCCACGGTGCGGTCGCAACAGACGGGTCGTCCTTTTTGTCCTCGTTTTACTCTCCGGCGCATAGCACCAAGAGGCTTAGGTCTCATTTGTCCGACATACCGCCTTCCTGGCTCGACGGTCGCGCATCTATTGTTTATCCATCGGCTCCGCCGAGCGAACCTTCACCGGGCGGTCTAGCACACTTGTGTTTTAACGGTCAACAACCGGTGTCGTCGCAGCAACATTACAACGTTCCTCAAGAGCGGCAACAATATCAAGATCGCAACGGTACCGATTATGCCACTAACACGGTCACGTCCGCACCGCTGCCATTCGAACAACAGCGCGCATTACCAAACAACAGTCTAGTACAACGAGAAGACCAATCGTCTCGCTCGTATCAACAAAAACCGCCCGCGAGTAGTAGCGCAAACCCGATTCCCTATCATAGATTATACCCTTCTCTACCTACAGAACCGCAACAACAAGACCAAAAACAGCCRGTAACGCGAGTCGAACGTAACCGACGGTTAACTACACGAAGGGATATGGGCGTATACGAGTCAAACGACGAGGAGAGCGACTACGACCRCGCCAACTGAATCCGACCGACGGTGGTGGTGATACACTATAAACGGTTCGATTAAATTGTCCGACCGATGTGTATATAAATATGCGCAAAACTTGTTAACGGTTTGTAATCGCTCCGACAGTCGACCGGATCGCACCGAAAGCAGCGGGTCTTGTATTTTTTTTTCCTACGCTATGGACACGGAGTCTACAGTTCCCACCTGTGTGGTTTGTTTCGAGCCCGTGGACTCGAAACAAGAATCGCCGCAAATGTTTGGATTGTTACCCGGCTGTCAACATTGCGTCTGCTTACAATGCATAAAATTGTGGCACAAGGCTAACGTGAGTTCCGGTGTAAACAAGTGTTGTCCGATGTGTCGCAATAAGGTGCATTTTTACGTACCGTCCAAAAAATGGATTGTTGACCCCAAAGAAAAGGCCGGCGCAATCGCGAACTTTATGGCGCATATGAAAACGATACCGTGCAGGTATTTCCAGCTGGGCGAGTGTCGCTACAGATCAAAGTGTTATTACAGACACTACGTTGTTGACGARCCCGGTTATGTTTCTGTCGTTGCGGCGCCGAGATACCGGAGATCCATWGCGCTCGTTGCCGATATTTGACCGTTGAAAATAACAACAACGCTTGTTATTACATAGTTCCCGACCGACTTTTTTTTATTATTTCCGACCGACGAAACAGCATATTATTTCCGACCGACGAAACAACATATTATTTCCGACCGACGAAACAACATATTATTTCCGACCGACGAAACAACATATATTTACACACATCCCGACCGACCATGATCTAATAAACGCTACCTAGTGTGTATATATAAAACTCAGCACCGGCGTTGAAAATAACAACAACGCTTGTTATTACATAGTTCCCGACCGACTTTTTTATTATTTCCGACCGACGAAACAACATATCCGACGAAACAACATATATTTACACACATCCCGACCGACCATGATCTAATAAACGCTACCTAGTGTGTATATATAAAACTCAGCACCGGCGATCGTATCATACGACTCGAGCGCCTCAACAAAGATGCAACTCCTCGAGTTTGACTCTGACGATTCGTACCACGAATCAAAGAACGAAGACGACGGTCTCAGCCTCGACGGTATAACTGACACGTTGAACAATATGTCGATAATGTGTTATCCCGCTATTGGAAGAGACACGGAACCACTGAAGAATATAGAACACGAAAAGAACGCGAGCGTCCTTCCTCAACGCGTCAATGACGAGCCTCGAGAGTCCGCGTTGAAAACAAACTCCTCTCCCACACACGAGGACGACGTTGTCCAAGAAGCTTCTGTTGCTGAAGAAAAACCTCAACGTAGAAAACGCCGATATCCCCGACACAGGAATCGCCGTCGGTTTTACGATGACAACGGCGCCTCTTTCAACGCGAACGATGGTCGTTATTACGACGGATACACAACAACTGAGTTTCGACCGGCCCGTGTCCACAGACGACGGGTTGATTTCGACTACGATCAAAATCGAGCGTGCGGAGTTCGACGAAGACTCACGTTCGACGAAGATGACGACAGGACGACCGAAAACCTACGGGGTTTTATCAAGGCTCGACTGGGCGGACCGATGGTCTATCGCCGGCAGTTTGATGACACGCCGCGGATCTCGGTCAAGAATCGATTGGGTGTCCGCTGCAACACCAACGATAAACAACCGCTTGGGGTCGCTCGTTTGAACGGTGTTCACCGACGGCTCGGTTTCGACCATCGGAGCCCAACGAGGAGAACTCCACCGCACGAACCAACGTTGCGACCTTCAATCAAGGATCGTCTCGGGACGAGACTCGGCGACTATACAGACGCGCGTCGACATCGACGATTCCTGGCCGGAGGGAACCCCCGCCGCGATTCATCGAATGGACAATACGACGGGGATTTGCGACGCGCACCCCCGTCCCAAAAAATCCGTCACTGGTTCGAAAAATATGGAGGTCGAAACCGCAGAATGTGGTGATTTTTGTTTTTAGAGAGCCAACATATATACGT